ATGTACAGTGGAATCAGCCTTTCTCTGGGCACCTTGATATGTGAACAATAAACCTCTAATTTAAAAATTATTTGAGCTACTTACAACCAAAACCATCCTAGTATGTTAGTATATAAGGATAGCAATGACTAACTAAATGCATCTTCAGAACGTACAGTCAAGGGCTGTTGTGAAAAGGGCACTAGAATAGGAGTCAGGGTGGGTATGATTGAACCTGTACAACTACAAACACCCACAGGCTCTATGATATTGACCAAATGACTCTCTCTCTGCAGTTTTCTCATTTTTCTTCTTCTTCTTTGTACTCTCTCTCTCTCTTTTTTTTTTTTTTTTTTTTTTTTTTAGGGAGGATCTCACTCTATAGCCCAGGCTGGAGTGCAGCTGCCCTATCACAGCTCACTGCAGCCTTACCCTCCCTAGGCTCAAGCAATCTTTCACCTCAGCATCCTGAGTAGTTGGGACCACAGGCACTTGCCACCATGCCAGGCTAATTTTTGTATTTTTTTTGTAGAAATAGGGCTTTGCCATGTTGCCCAGACTGGTCTTGAACTCCTGAACTCAAGTGGTCCTCCTGCCTTGGCTTCCCAAAGTGCTGGGATTACAGGTGTGAGCCACCACACCTGGCCGCATTTTCTCATTTTGAAAGTAAAGATTTGAACAGACTGATCTCTGAGGCCTCTTTCCTTTCAAGAACACTTGTTTCTTGAATAGATGTAGGCCAATCTCTTCTGTTTCATGTAAATAAGGAGCGCTCAGAGACTTAAAACTTGCCCATGTTCTTCAACAGATAATACCAAAACCTTGTTTCTGATTTCTTGACTACCAGTCAAGTGCAATCTTTTATTTATGCTTCCCTTGAAGGCATTTATTAGAACATCTGCGATTCATGTAAAGCTGTAAATTATTTTAGAGATTGTGTTATTCAGGGTCCTTTGGTCTGAAGGGGCAGAAATCCAACTGAAACTCAAGCCAAAAGGGAATTATTGGTTGGATGCTGGGAGGTCCTAGGATTGACTTCACATATGGCTGGTCCTGGAAGTTTGGCTTCACATATGGTTGGTTCTGGGTGTTCAAATGCTTCCAGGTTTCTCTCTCTCTCTCTCTCTCTCTCTCTCTCTCTCTCTCTCTCTCTCTCTCTCTCTCTCCAGAGTCTTGCTCTGTTGTCCAGACTGGAGTGCAGGGGCACAATCTTGACTCACTGCAGCCTTGACCTCTTGGGCTAGAGACATCCTCTTGCCTCAGCCTTCCGAGTAGCTGGGACTATAGGTATATGCCACCATATCTGGCTAGTTTTGTATTTTTTTGTAGAGATGAGGTTTTGCCATGTTGCCCAGACTGGTCTCCAACTCTTGGGCTCAAGTAATGTGCCTGCCCGAGTCTCCCAAAGTACTGGGATTACAGGTGTGAGCCACCATAACTGGCCTTCTTTTTTCTGAAGGTCAGTTTCACTTTTAGTCAAGATCTCTCCACATAGTGGATAAGATGGTTGCTCTCGATTGCAGGCTTACCTTGTTCTCACAGATGATGAGGACAAGTGTAGAGGAATCACTTTCCTTATAAGGGACATGTGCTATTAGCTAAACAAACTTTGGGAAGAAGAACCATACCATTTCTAATTTATATAATGGGTAAGTGGGGTGCAATTCCATCCTCTCACCTAGGAAGGTTGGAATGAATTTTCACATTGACCAAACCATTCCATTCCCCTGACTACAACTACTGATTTAGGGAAGGGCCATTTCAGAGGCCTTCCAAAGGAAGGTAGGGATTCAAAATTAAAAGGCCTATCACATTAAAATTTATAATATTAAAAAACTTACATGGCATATCAGTTGCTTTATAAGGGGGCCAATCTACCCCCTTCTAGATAAACACCACAAATCAATACATTACAAGAAACTTATGAGATAGGGCTTTGACACCTATGCTTTAATAATTTTGAAAGTTATTGAACAATTTTCCATTGGATTGATTTTTTTTCTATACCTTGGAACTCAAGAAAATATAAAAAATATATGCATTTTTTTCTATATCTCATAGCTACTGACCTTAATGATTTTGAATAGTTCCTGCTGTGATTTAAAAGCAGAGGCTCTCAAATTTGAGCCTACCTCAGAAGGTACCAAACTTGAGCCTATCTGGAGGGCTTGTTAAGGTACAGCCTGCTGAACTCTTCCCTCCAAGTTTCTGATTCGGTAAATCTGGGGTGGGGCTTGAGACTGCATTCTAACAAGTTCCCAAAGAGGTTGCTGCTGATCTAAAGACCACACTTTCAGAGTCACTGTGCTAGAGCATTCACGGGGGTTCTTAAATGCACATCATTAAAATTATTACAGGACAGGAATCTTGTAAATACAAGGCATCATATTCATCATTATGAAGAAAGGACACTCATATTGCTTATTTATCCTAGGTAAAGAATAAAAGCTAAAAAGTAGATTAGGTGTCATCTTGGAATTGGAGTTTAGAGAGAGGCTTTCCATTTGAGCCTATCAAATGGGCAGTTTGGAAGTGGCCTGCCACTTTCCTGCACTTCAGTCACCTTGGCTGTCCTCAAGAGGCACATTCTAGCCTTTCTTTGGGATTTAGTTGATTCCCCAACTTTTAGTTCAGGTGGAACCTTACTGAGATGCTTTTGTAATTTAGGTTGAAATTCCAACCTTCCAAACACTTTGTGATTAAAGGACCTAGATGTTGTGGTAATAAATCCAAGTCCTCTGGTGATTATTGGCCTTTTGCCTAAGTCCAGATGGCCTTATTCTTTAATGAACTTGGTTCAAGCTGTATATAAAGCTCTCTTTGACCTCCAGTGGCCGTGCCCACTACAAGTCTGGCAACTGTACAGAAGACCCCCACTCCTGTTCTTATCATTTTACTCCTATATCCCCCAAATCTCTGTTTTTGGCTACTGTCTCCAAAGGACAAAGAAGCTGGATTTCCTTAAGCATTAGTGTTTATACAATTTAGGAGTGAATGTGAATTTTCAGTCAAATCTTTACTTTCTCATTCAAAAGTCCACACTGGCACGCTAGTGCCAACCATATCAAATCTATCATATTCTGAGTTTAAAAGCAGTAATTTCTGTTGGGTGGTATGACATCTAGCATGCTGTGGATTTTTATAAGCTCCTTTTCCTACAGACACCAGGACCTATATTTTCAAATACTTGGGTGGCTAGCCTGGCTTAGCATCCCTCTTGAGCTAAAAGCTGCCTAATTTAAGAGAAGAGATCAATGGTAGGTGGGAACTGTTTCCTCAAAAAGTCTTGATTAGTTTATATCCATAAGGAACTAGCCACATTCTTTAATATTACTCTTTGCTTGAGTGACAGTGTTTCACTCTAACCTAACAGGGGGTACATCTCTTAACTTGTAATAAATGAGAGTTACACAAAAACAAGTAGTACTGTAGTACATCTGATCTTGTGATTGCCAACGTCTATGGTTATTCAGTTCAGTGTTGAATTCAATTTACGTTGAATCACTTCAGGAAATCCAGAGAGTCCTCATTACACATGGTGAGTGTGTTTCCTCAAGGAGGTACAGTACTTGGCATCTCTTAGATGACTGTGGCTCACCACTTCGTCTGGCTGCTATACAAGTACGTATTGTTTTATTGAATAAGAGGGTAAAAAGTCACATAAAACATTGCATACTACAAATGGCCAGGGAATAATTTGACTTGCCTTGGTGCAACTTAATTTACACATTGGACTTCTAGAAAAAAAGAGACTGTTCAATAAATACGGCTTAGTCTGGGCACATGAACCATGAATTACTTTGATTATTTTTGTTGTTGTTGTTGAATTCTCCTTGCCTGTTTTGGATTATAATATTTTTCAGATAGACTAAAGCTACCTTCAGGCAGACAGAATATTCAATAGGGTAAAAGGGTTTTGTAGTAAGAAAAATAGGTGAGTAAGGCAAATAACACAGGTTCTTCTCAAACTTTGAAAACATTACCATTTATTCTCAACCCTACTGAATATAATTTACTTCTTTGCAGGGCTGAAGCTTTTTTTTTTTTTAACCTTCTGATTTGTAGCCATATTTAAGGTTTGACATGTTGTCTCCAGGAAGGAATTATAATGAATTGTTTTACAAGTTCATATCACACCCATGAGATATTGCTTTTAATAGAAGAATCACGCTAGTTTTGCAAATTATGCTTGTGCTATATGATGTCAACATCCCTGGAATTTTACATATATGAGGATGTTTGGATAAATACTGTAAATACAGAGATTCTAATTTGAGCACTTTAATTTTCTCTCTCTCTCTTTTTTTTGAGACAGTGTCTCACTCTGTTGCCCAGGCTGGAGTGCAGTGGCACCATTACAGCTCCCTACAGGCTTGACTTCCTGGGCTCAAGTCATGTTCCCGCCTCAGTCTTCCAAGTAGCTGGGACTACAAGCAAGCACAACCATGCTTAGCTAATTATCAAATTTTTCGTAGAGATGAGGTCTCACTATATTGCCCAGGCTGGTCTCACACTTATGGGCTCAAACAGTTCTCCAGCCTCGGCCTCCCAAACTGTTGGGATTGCAGGTGTGAGCCACTACATCCAGCTGAGCTTTTTTTTTTTGGTGAAGGGTAAAACTAGATGACAACTAGAATATTATCTGGATATTTCCAAACATGGTATGAGTTGTCCTGGAATATCTAGCTAAGTGATGCTGGAGTGTCTTCTGGGAGGCTACCTGAATTATTTGAAACATTTACAAGTGAATAACAGATATGAGTATACATAGACTCAGTCTGCATTTTTTTCTGAACAGAACCAAAATTAAGGAAAAGGAACAGTCACAAAACACCTTCTAGACCTTCTCTTGCTTCCCCCATAGTTTTTCTATGTTTCACCGAGGCACAGAAAACCTCGTGGTCAAACAGGGTTTCACTATTGGGCTGAGTTGTAGGTAAAATTTCAGTCCTTTTCTTTATTTCTCACATACTGAAAACTTTTTTTCTGTATTTCAGTTTTTACTTTTTAAGAATTTCTGGGAGAACCGAGCGGAGCTGGTTGAGCCTTCAAAGTCCTAAAACGCGCGGCCGTGGGTTCGGGGTTTATTGATTGAAATCCGCCGGCGCGGGAGCCTCTGCAGAGAGAGAGCGCGAGAGATGGAGATGGGCAGACGGATTCATTTAGAGCTGCGGAACAGGACGCCCTCTGATGTGAAAGAACTTGTCCTGGACAACAGTCGGTCGAATGAAGGCAAACTCGAAGGCCTCACAGATGAATTTGAAGAACTGGAATTCTTAAGTACAATCAACGTAGGCCTCACCTCAATCGCAAACTTACCAAAGTTAAACAAACTTAAGAAGCTTGAACTAAGCGATAACAGAGTCTCAGGGGGCCTGGAAGTATTGGCAGAAAAGTGTCCGAACCTCACACATCTAAATTTAAGTGGCAACAAAATTAAAGACCTCAGCACAATAGAGCCACTGAAAAAGTTAGAAAACCTCAAGAGCTTAGACCTTTTCAATTGCGAGGTAACCAACCTGAATGACTATCGAGAAAACGTGTTCAAGCTCCTCCCGCAACTCACATATCTCGACGGCTATGACCGGGACGACAAGGAGGCCCCTGACTCGGATGCTGAGGGCTACGTGGAGGGCCTGGATGATGAGGAGGAAGATGAGGATGAGGAGGAGTATGATGAAGATGCTCAGGTAGTGGAAGACGAGGAGGACGAGGATGAGGAGGAGGAAGGTGAAGAGGAGGACGTGAGTGGAGAGGAGGAGGAGGATGAAGAAGGTTATAATGATGGAGAGGTAGATGACGAGGAAGATGAAGAAGAGCTTGGTGAAGAAGAAAGGGGTCAGAAGCGAAAACGAGAACCTGAAGTTGAGGGAGAAGATGACGACTAAGTGGAATAACCTATTTTGAAAAATTCCTATTGTGATTTGACTGTTTTTACCCATATCCCCTCCCCCTCTCCAATCCTGCCCCCTGAAACTTATTTTTTTCTGATTGTAACGTTGCTGTGGGAACGAGAGGGGAAAAGTGTACTGGGGGTTGTGGGGGGAGGGAGGGCGGGAGGGGGTGGAATAAAATACTATTTTTACTGCCAAAAAAAAAAAACAAAAACAAAAACAAAAACAAAAAAACAAAACAAAACAACAAAAAAAAAAAAAAAAAAAGAATTTCTGTATATCAGTGAATTGCATCCTCTAGCTCCTATTCCGATTTAAAGGTTGACTGTGGTTGTGCTGTGGTCTCACCTAGTGCTGTTTTCTGAGATACCCTTTGGGTTGTAGATTGTCCCACCTCGTGTTGTCCTGTCAATTGTCTTCCTGTGCCATGTCGAGAGTAGTGCAATATTTGGTGAGCACCAGGCCTTGTATCCAGCTCCTCTGGAGCACCTTATGACCGTCTTCCCTCATCTTCTGGCTTGTCCTCCAGATGGTGCCAGGAGAGAGCAGAAACCCATCCTTCTCCCCTTGAGTTGAAAAATGCCTTCCAAGCTGGTAAGCAGCACAGGGAGCAGAGCACCTCTGTAAGATCAAGATTCCTCCCCAGTTAAATGCTAGAGCAGTTGGTTAGCTCACTATGCTGTGTGGCTGCTGAAGAGATAAGCCTGGCCAGGTTAAAGGGCACATAACCTGAGCGTGCTCAGGTGAGCCAGGTATGCAACCACAGAAGTGCATAGAGTGAGGCAAGTAGGCTCAATTAAGAAGTGGATACCACATGGTAGGACCCAGGATCCAATCAGACAGACCTCTGACATCACACCATGGCAGGATCCAGTCAGATCATGCTTCTGGCATCACCTCATTGCAAGATCCAATCAGATCATGCCTCATTATCCTATGCTTATAACACCTGACCCAGCCCTTTGCTCAGAGAGACACTGCTTTGGGAACTATCTCTGGTGTTCTCCTCACTTGTTGCAGGTAATAAAACCTTCTTGCAAAAAAAAAAAAAATCTTTCCCTCTTCAAACTCTCCCCTCTTGCATGTGCTTAGGCTTTTAGGAATAAAGCCCAGGAAGTCCTGTCTCAGACCTCCCATAAGGCAAGGAAGCCCAGAATCTTCTATCTGCTTGAATGAAGGAAGACAAAACAGAAAATATCTCAAAATGTTATCCTGTCACAAACGTTTTCTTGCATTTGGACTTTTCAGTTCCATGGTCTGGACCATGGTAAATCTGATTTCCACAACATGATGTAGGTACAAAAGACTTCTGGGAGTTTGAAATCCAGCTTACTCTAATGTTGCTTAAGAAACACGAGTCTTATCTCCATACACTTGTCAGAATGACTTTTATCAAAAAGAAGAATGATAATAAGTATTGGCAAGAGGTAGAGAAGAGGAACTCTTGTACGCTTGCAGTAAGACTATTAATTAGTATAACCATTATGAAAAACACTATAAAGTTTCCTCAAAGAACTAAAAATAGAATTATCATATGATCCAGCAATCCCACGACTGGGTATGTATCCAAATACAATGAAATCAGTATGTCAAAGAAATATTTGCACTCCTATGTCCATCACAGCATTATTCACAATAGCCAAGATGTGGAATCCACCTAAGTGCCCTTCAGTGGAAAAATGAATAAAGATGTGGACTATATTCACAATGGGACACTCTTCAGCCTTCAGAAAGAAGGAAATCCTGTTATCTGCACAAAATGAATTAACTTGGAGGACATTATGTTAAGTGAAATAGGCCAGGAACATAAAGACAAAAGCTACATTATTTCACTTGTATGTGGCATCTAAAAAAGTTGATCTCATGGAAGTGAAAGATAGAATGGTGGTTACCAGGGGCTAGATGGGGGCAGTGGGAATTGGGGAGATGTTCATCAAAGGATATACAATTTCAGTTAGACAAGAGGAGTAAGCTCAAGAGACCTGTTATACAACATGGTGACAATAGTTAATAACAACGTAATGTCTACTTGAAAATTGCTAAGACAGTAGATTTAAAATGTTCTCACCACAAAAAATAAGTTTGTGAGGTCAAGTATATGTTAATTAGCTTGATTTAGCCATTCCACAATGCATACATATTTTATGCTATAGACCATAAATATATGCAATTTTTATTTGTCAATTATAACCCTTTAAAAAAGAACAGATAAGTCTCATGGTACATGGACTTGCATTTAAGACTGGGGTTTGAAATCTGCCTCTTACTACTTACCTAGCATGATAAGTAATGATCTTGATGTTTCGCCTTCTCTTTCCTTTGCCCCACCTCCATCATCTTTCACCAAGATCAACGTAACAATCTCCTAACTGGTCCCTCTGTCTCCAGTCTTATCCTCTCCAGTCTGTCATCCGTCTTAACGATAAATGGAAATATGGTCATCCAAAGTCTTACATGGAAACCCTTCAATGACTCTCTGTTGGCCAGGGCAAAGTTGGAGCTTCAAAGCAATGATTCATGATTAATTCAATGATCCTTTATAATCCGTCATGATCAACTTCCTCTTTCCACTCAGTGGCAGTTACTTGAAATTGTCCCCCAAATTTCAAATTCTCGTTTTTATTTATTGATATAACCACACATTTTTAACTGATCTCATTGGTCATCATAACAGAGTCTATTCAAAGTCCTCAGCAGGCAGTGTGACAATGTGACCAGCTCTGGCCAAGGAGCTGTAGGCAGAAGTGTCCTGTGGCAGCTCCTCTAAATCTTAAAAGACAGTACATGGTTTTGTTTTTTTTTTTTTTCCTTTCCTCTTCCTGCTGTACTGAATGTGGATATGGTGAGTGAATCTAGAGCAGCCATTTGGAGGCATGAAGAGATCTTGGAAATGGAGGCCATGTGTGTTGAAAGAAAACCGAACAACTCCGAGTTTCTGAAGACTTCATTTCACCAACCCAGAACCTCTTTGTTCATCACAGGTGAACTTATTCCTAAAGCAAATGCTCTCATTTTCCTTCTGTAATTTACAATGATGCTGAACTGTTTGTTATTCCTTGAAATGATCACACGGTTCTGTGCTTAGGTGCCTTGCCTCTTGCTGCTCCTGCACCTTATGCTTTGCCTTCCTAGCAAATTCTCTCTTATTAAGGTCTATACCTTTAGGGCTTCCAGCTCTGAGAAGACTACTCACTCACAGCCAGGCAAATTTGGTGATTCTTTCCATTTTCTATCATTATATCTAGTCCATCTGCCTATCACAGTACTCATCACATGCCTATGTTTTGTTTACCTATGTGTTCTATATAATAGATGGGTGAACTTTTACAGGTCATGCTTATTTTTTTGTCATCTCTGCATTTTTATAGCCTAGCACAAAATTGGGTCTCAAAGAATAGGGTTGCACAAATGAACAATTGAATAAAATTATCTTTATATTATTTCCTCCTCTGTAAAATGGGAGTCACAATAATTCCCATTCTAGAGATTTTTGAGAGTTACATGAGAAGGTTCTTTGTAAACATAACACATTATCAAAAAAACAAGTCATTGTGTGTTTATACAAATTTCTGTTCTCTGGTCAATAACCTTAAACAAATATATTTTCTATATAATCCATGGTTATTGATCTATTTTATTATCTATAAGAAATGGAAAACAAAGAATGAATTGAAAACAGGACACACTTCTGATCTTAGCCATATAAAAATTAGTAATATAGCCAAGGGTTCTTAAGGCCAATTTAATTTCTATTGCCAGGTACTTAAATATATTTGAGTTCAACTATCCTACAAAACCTTCGCTCCAGGTAACCTCTTCAGCCACGGGACAAACATAGCTCCATATAATGCAGTTGTACTTAAAACAAAAGTGATACATATCAAGCTGATTCCACTTGGCGAAATCACCTTTAGATCACAGAATAGGTGTAAGAGCCTAGGGCTCAAGACATTCACTTTTTCTTCAAGTCAGCTGCTTTAAGAGAACACAGGATAGTCAGAGTTGGAGCTGGAGCGGGGGCAGGGTGTGCTCTTCTTTCTGCTGTATTAAGCTAAGCAACTCAGGAACTCTGGGCATTCTTAGAGAAAGTGGGACCTATGTATGGGGCAATAGGCCTGCTCAGAGTATGCCGACTTCTCTCTTGAGACTGTTCTACGCTCCACACGCTCATAAAGTCATCCACCAGAGCCATCATGTGCTTGCATCTTGCTGTGTTCCTTCAACCATCTGCTGACTCTAGACCCTTGCTTTAGTCCTTTAACACTTTCTAGCACCAAGATCTCATGCCTGGAAGTCTTAAAATCCCCTCATCTTTCTTTTTTACAGCAATCAATTTGCTCTCACCACTCCCAGGGAATCCAGTCTCATTTTTGCCTGTATTTTCCTCTCTGAGTGTGGTAATGGTGGTGAGAGGGTGGAGGATAGTTTTAATGTCACCTCTTATATTATGAATCAGTGACATAAGCTTTTAAAGCCAAAAGTATTTGTAAAATCTCCTTTTAAAATAGAAGATTTAACTACCTTCACTCTATTTAAACTGATTTCTGAAGGAAATGTAGGGTTCAAAGTAAAGTTTGGGCTCTTCTCCTCTATGTATTTGCAAACGCACAAAGCTGGGTCTGTTATGTCCTGTCTGAAAAGCTATCTATTTGTACAGCTTTATGCATCTCTTCACAGAACACCCATGAAGTCACAGCTCATATTTCTGCTTTAAATATTCGATCTTTTGGCTTTAAACACCCATAAGGGTTATTTGTCAAAACGGATCTTAAACTTCGCCCTACAGCTCTGAGGCAGATCTTTAAAGTCATGCTGTCGGGGTGGGAAGGAAAGGGTGGGGGAGACGGGAAAAGTCAGCCATTCAGCAAGCATTTATTGAGTGCCAAGTACGTGCAGAGCATATGGTATCTAGTAATAGGTGCTGTGAGAGAGAGGAAAAAGGCATGGAGTACATGTTCTTGCTCTCAAGATGAAGGAGACAGAAACATAAGCACTGTTAATTCAGTCATAGATCTAGACATTTTAACCTTGTTTTCTAAAGATGTTTATATGAAGAGCAAAAGCTAGCAACCTCAGGCATGTAAGAACATGTTAGCAGCAGTGATGTGCATATGCATGTGTGCGTGTGTGTGTGTGTGTGTGTCTGAGAGACAGAGAGAGAGAGAGTAGGATTAGGATTGGGGTGAAGAAGAGTCAT